TTTTTTTTTTTTTTGTTTTTGGGTTTGGGTTAAACGGGTTTTGGGTTTGGGTTTGGGTTTTTTTTTTTTTGGGTAATTTTGGTTTGGGTTCTGATGGGTTTTGGGTTTGGGTTTGAGTTTGGGTTTTGGGTTTTGGGCTAGACTTTGCATTTCACCCCTCCAACTTTTCATCTCTTCAATTGAGTCCTTTTTCTCATCTTTTTTTCCAATCTTCTTCGTAAAATTTCCTTTTTGCCCCCCCCTTTTTTTTTTAATGAACCTAACAAGTAAAACAAAGACAAAACATATTAGTTAAAATAAAAATAAAAATAAAATAAAATTCTATAAAAATTTGAGTTATGACAAGAACACCTTCACTTATTTGGGCAAAAAATTTTAATGGAGGGGAGGGAGATGGAAGGGGATGGAGCCGCCTTCCCTCCTCTATTTTTAATCCCTCCAAATAGGAGATAATGGGATGAATTATGTTACTTAATTCATTTTAGTTTTTAAACTTTTAAAAAATAAATATATATAAAAATATTTTATTTTAATTATTTATTTAATTAATAAATTTAAAAAATTTTATTCTTGTTTATTTTATTTTTTATTAGATTATTTAATTAAATAAAAATATTATTCTTCCCTCTCCTTCACTTTTAACTATGCAAACAAAATTAATATCAACCCATTTCCTTCCCTTCACTTCTTCTCATTTTCCTTCCAATCCCCTCTCCTTCCTTTCCTTTACTAATTTTTTTCCAAACATAGGCTAAAGTCCCCAACAATGATCTATTTTTCTTTTTCTGATCACCATCGCCACCGTCCTTTATGGTTTCTAAAGCCTTTCATCTCACCAGTTTCCTAAGTCCTTTTCTTTGTCTCACCTTCTCTCCCCAAAAACAGTCAGTAGCCATATCTTCTTTCTCAAAGTTGTTGATGGCTATCTTCGTTTTCCTTCCCCTTATCCTATCACGGCCTTTCTTTCTCCTTCCATGCCAAAACCCTTAGTTTCAATCAATCTACTGAAACCAACATGTCACACCTTCTTTAACCATTCCGTGGTCTAGCATGGTCCACACCGACGAGTGAGCAGGAAAACAAGAACAAATGAGGTTTGATCTATCGATCAATGATGAAGGTGTTATTCATGCGATGCTAACGAGAAGAAGCTTCCTAGGAACTCTTAAGTTCGACTGTAAATGTGATAAGTTCTTGTTTAGATCGTTCTTCCAACTGTAAGAGGTTCAATATAAGGTCATTTCATGCATATCAAGGCCCATATTGCATCCAAAGGTCGGGAAAGTGTAGATCCAAATGGGCAAGGCTTCAGGGAGTATGGGCCTGTTGGGTGATTTGGGTGACAAGTTGGATGTTTTAAAGGAGCTCTATTTTCTAGGTTTCATTGTTGTAGGTAATTTTTTGAATAAAGGAATTTTTAGGAAGCATAGTGAGGGACACGAATGGAGCTTGATCCTGTGGGCGGGATCCTTCATTTTGATCTTGATCTATCTTTTCCAAAAAACTTCTGCCTTGTTTTTTTAATTTCCTTAGGTTTTGATGTATTGGAACTATATTAGATGATGATATTATGAATAAAAATCAAGCATATTCTTTTGAATTTCATGGATTTGAATTTGAGTGGATGTTTATTTGTTTTCCTTTTGTCTGTATTGATGAATGGCTGAACAGGAACCCTAAATTTCCTTTTCTAGATTTTAATTTGTTTTGCTTATTTTTGGTTGATGGTTTGTGTTTTTGGATCAGGTCGACTCGACCCAGTCTAGTAGGTCTTTGAGTAAAAATAATAATAATAACTAAAAAGGGGTAAAACATATATATATATAATGATAAATTGATTAGGGTAATTAGTTTAGTGTGTGATTAACGAACTTAATTAATTTTAATTAGAGTGATTAATTATGCTTATTGGTCCTAATTTGAGGTAGTTAGATTTATTTAATTATCTTAATTAAAGGTTAATAAATGTGATTAATTAATTTTAATGAATTTTAATTAATGTTGAATTAATTGTTTTGTCATGCCCCAAAACTGGGAATGAAATAGATACTGTACACTTGTCAGAGAATCCCACAAATGTATAAGGCTCAAAACTTGCTAAATTCATAACTAACAATCCATATAAACTTAAATTAATATCTCAAAATAAAATCTAGCTTACAAAAGAATTATCTATATCTCAAAATCTATATCCAAAATATGAATGGCTAGTCTTCTAACTCATCACTCCCCTTAGTTTCCCCACATCTCAGATCTCACTACGTGAAATGGTGGACGAGGAAAAACTATGTGAGATAACTCAATAAGTAAAAATATGGGTAGCCCTTATTTAAAATGTAAGCATACCAAATAAACAATTTAAGAGATAACTAGAAGGAAAAATATCTCAGTTATAAACCATCAATGCGAAATAAAACTTAGTAATGGTCTCCTCAATTAGTCTTGGCCAGTGTTTAACAAACTCCCACCAGCAAGTGTCAGTAATAACCAGTGTATTGTCCCACTAATAGAAATACAGGATGAACCAGTCCTATAAGTATACATGTCGACATGTTTTAGAGTTTGTAAGCTCCCACTAGTAGGCGTCAGTAATCATAACCATATTGGAAACAAAACCATGCAGTAGTTCAACAAGAAAATTCATCATTTACAAATATGCAGGAGTTAACAAGAAAATACAATCCAATTTCAAATTTCCAGAACAAGAAGTAAACTCCATGTAGGCATGCTTAACTCAATAAAAACAATAACAACTTCATTTAAAATCAATCATGCTTAAGTGTTAATAAAAATTCAGTTTAGGTCCTGCCATCATCTCACCTTAGCCCATTTTAAATACCAAATTTTCTTTTAGCTCTCCCTTAGGTTTGGGAATTTTAGTCATTAGATTCCATAATAATAATTTCTCTCACATAAGTCCCTAATTTAAATTTAAATTTAAATTCACTTATACTAATATATTCATATATATATATATGTCTAAAATTTCAGCAATTTTGGGATATTACACATTCAATTAAACTAATTATCATAATTAATTCATTTCAATCCTCTACTTTCTTTAATCTTAGTCAAAATATAAATGATCTCCCCCTTTTATTTCAACTTCACCCAAAACTTACATGATCAAGCAATTTAGTCCAAAAGTTTCAAATCTTTTCAAATAAGTCCCTCATATTTAGAATTTAATCAAATCAATCCATTTAACTTTTATTTGTGGTCGTTGTGCATGCATGTTCTTGATTTTGTCCATTTCAATCCAAAAGTTTAAAATGTTACAATTTTGTCCATCTGTTTTTTTAAGTTTGCTTATTAAGACCTAAATCAAAAATAATAAATAAGTTGGATTAAAACCCCAATGTTAAAGTATGGAACTGTGTTTACATAAAGAATTGTGAAGTACGCATACGCCCTTCCTCACTCCTAACTAAATTCACAAACCTTGATCTCTACGCAAACTC